TTATTGCACTGGGTTGAAACAGAGGTATTTAGAACAAAGTATCACAAAATTAAACATGTAGGAATGAGGAAAGGAAGATGGGTGAAGCAGAAGTACAGACATGAAGGGAGGGAAGTGAGATCAATGAGTGGGAACCAAGACCGTCCTAAAGGGATGCTGAGGAAGAGCCAGAGGAAGACAGAGTCAGAAAAGCAAAGAACAAGACTTGTGAGGTTTTCTCCTGTATATTTTCAGAAAAATATCAAATTAGTATCAAAAATGCATTTTAAAACCAATTATGTGCAACTGCTAATGCAAGCACAAGAAAAAAATGCTGAGCCATTGAAAAGGGCTTTAATTAAAGTTTTGTTTTTAATTTTTAAAATTAAACTTTTAATTAAAGTTTAATTAAAGTTTTGAAAAACACAGCACATTGACTACAACTTAAAAGAAAACATGAGCAAGAAAGATTGTATTTTAATGTATTTCCCTTATTAAGGCTGCTAGCTCAACTCTGAATGAGTTGCTTGTATTGTGACCTAGGAATAAATGAAATATGTATTATGTGATCCAACTTTTACAAGATTCTATCAGACAGCTGTTACTTCATCAGATGAAGCTGTGTTACTCTACAATTCAAAACTAGATGCATCTTCCTGTGGTATGAGTCAAAAATCACAGCTACCTTCAAATCATACTGCTCTGCAGCACGATCCCAAATCAGCTTCCTGTGCAAATTGATATACTCAGAACCAGAGTTCTCTAATACAAAGCAACGCTTCCATGCTGTTAGCATCCCAATTTTTGTGTACTGTAGGGACAATATAGCACCTTCCCCAGACTTAAAAGCCACTTTCCCCCCCTGATGTGAACCAAAACAACAGAGCAGGGCTTGGTGATGCTGTGGATTCAGCTGTGAAGGGGTTCCAGAGGAAGGGCTTTGTCTCACTGCAGGAACAGCTCTGGAGCACTGCAGAAGCCTCGTGCAGTGGTTCTCATGCCCTAGCCTGCAGGACTTCCAGTGTTACTATAGAGATTACACAACTTTGTGCTAGAGCTGGATCTGATTTTGGGGTCAGCAATAACACAAAGTCTTCAAAAGCCCAGCACAATGAGTGCAATGACTATTTTTGGGAGAACAGTTCAATGCAGTTTGTGATAAATCTCCCACCACCTTGAGAATTTCTCCCTACAGAAGAAGTGAGCACAAGACACTTTAAATTTTACAGAATGACACTTAAATTAACTGTAACTTCAGAAACATTTTAAGTTACCATGTCAATCTTTTTTAAGTTAAGAACAACTGGTTTTAGTTCTCAACAACTATCCAAAGTTGAGTGATATACCAAACAACAAATATTATTTGTAAATCAAAGGATTGCTACCAAGTATAAAAATTAGACCTCTATCATATAAAAGCAACTCAGAAGACTTGCCAAACTGTGAGGCTATTTACAAAATGTTTATATGTTTTAACTGGTAGAAAACATAAAAGCATGAAGTCACAGGCCACAACACTTAGCTTAAATTTATGGTTGAGCTGCTCTCCCTCCCTAATAAAAGTACTAATTTTGACATTGCATTCCACTGTGTACCTTTAATTTACAACAGTGACTAACAATATTGCTACATAAAAACTATTCAACATATTAGTGCATAAGACTTCACCGTCTGAATCTTTCATCACTATATTATTGCCAAAAAGCACAGCAAAAATAAAAAAATATTATTCTTAACTAAAAGCAACAATAAAATATATGGGCTATACTTCTTTGAACTATTTTATGTAGTTGGACTTCTTTTTTTCCATCATAAACTATCATGCTATCTAGAGCTTTCAATTCTTCTGAAGAGAGAGTTCAGAAACATACCTGAGGGAGTTTTACAGTAATATCTGCTGAGCACTAAGCTAGCCAAAGATGAGGACACACCTGCTGAAATTAGGCAATCCAAAGAGTCAGGGCAAGGGCAATGAAATTCAGTCAAACATTCTGCATTCAGAAGTCTAAAATATGTTGAAAACTACATTGGGAAAAACATAACCAATTAGAGGAATAACTGAGATTTCATTTGATCCAAGCATTTCAAACAAGTCAGGAATAGCCACAGTGTAAGCAGGTATGTTAACAGAATGGAGAGGCTGCCTCAGGGATCAACATTATAATTGTTAATCGGAAGGACTGTGATTGATTAGAAATTTAACTATAGTATAGAAAGTCAGAAAGGGAAGTAAAGCAGGGGTTTTGCTTTAAGGTTTTTGCATTTTCTCATATTACAAAGTACAGCAAAATGAGCATTCTTCTTGCAGACAGATTTAACAGCCTGGAGGCATTTTGACTTCAAAATCACCCAAGCCCTTGTGAAACAGAAGCAGTACCAGGTGGGTGTTCTGTTCCAACTCCACCATAGCGAGCACTAAAACTTCCATTGTGGTGCAACTATTCAATTAAATGTTGTGAGACCATGGAAAGAGGCTCCGCTGGGACTCTGCTCTTAATCATAAAGATATAATGGCAGGAATGCAGAAAATTAAAAGCTTTTGACTTTGCACCATGTCCTGCTTCCTCTAATTGTGGATACTTGATGACCAGCTTACACTCAGTCATTGCTTCCCTGCACGCATTTGTACCTTACTCTTTGTCATATTCTGCACACCCAACAACATTTCCATTTTTTGTTTGCAGAAGAAAGTGCCTTGTATTAAAAAGAAACAAAACAACAGAGAAGAAGAGAAGAGAAGAGAAGAGAAGAGAAGAGAAGAGAAGAGAAGAGAAGAGAAGAGAAGAGAAGAGAAGAGAAGAGAAGAGAAGAGAAGAGAAGAGAAGAGGAAAGAAGAGAAGAGAAGAGAAGAGAAGAGAAGAGAAGAGAAGAGAAGAGAAGAGAAGAGAAGAGAAGAGAAGAGAAGAGAAGAGAAGAGAAGAGAAGAGAAGAGAAGAGAAGAGAAGAGAAGAGAAGAGAAGAGAAGAGAAGAGAAGAGAAGAGAAGAGAAGAGAAGAGAAGAGAAGAGAAGAGAAGAGAAGAGAAGAGAAGAGAAGAGAAGAGAAGAGAAGAGAAGAGAAGAGAAGAGAAGAGAAGAGAAGAGAAGAGAAGAGAAGAGAAGAGAAGAGAAGAGGAAAGAAAAAGGAGAAAACACAATAGTGAGGAAAACTACATCTCTGTTCAATCTTTTCAATGTTACAGTATGTGGTTCTGTATTTAGATACATATTTAGATACACATCTAACTTAAAGAAGATTTATCTTTCCTTAAAACCCAAAGTCTTCGTCTCAGCTCAGCTGAGGGAGAAATGCACTCTGAAAAACTGTCTCTGTCGATTACTAAGAAAGCCTGCATCATTAAGACACACCAAGCTCTTAATATTTAGGGCCATGTAATAAGGTATAGTGAATTGGGGTCTCAGTGCTTACCTGTTCACTTGAGTAGACTTTGTCACAATACTTAATGTTTATTAGTACTGTGTGCTACTGCATGAATTCGGGAGTGAACATACTAAGCAAAATGTCAAAAGTGAATCTCAGGTTCAAACAAATCCTAAGGTTAAGGTTTAACTGGATGAAATCAGATATGAGACAATGTCTGTGAAGTGGGGTAAAAAAAAAAATCATATGAATCTTACCAAACCCTCATCCATCCACCAGCTAAAATGATTCATTCCTGATCATAGAACATGGAGTAATTTTTCAGCTTTGTCTTGGATTGCCTTAATTTCCAAGAAAGGGGAATCAGAATCATCTTTTCAAGTAGTACCAGAGTAATGAGAAACATGCAACCTCGCTCTAAGGGATCCTTTAACAACTACAGAAGTTTTAGCACATAGCTGCTGGTGTCCAAAGAGTCCCGTGAGAGGGCACTTAGTTCATATCCCTCCTCTCAAGGAAGGAGGTTTCTCAGAAGTTTACTCAGCACATAAAAAGTAAGGTGTCTGTCAGTAGGTCCTCCAAAGAAGGTAAAAAGTGCACAGCAGGAAAAGAAGTTTAGTACGGCCTTTCTGCACTGCAGCTCTACTCGATACAGAAACACTGAATAAAGATATCCTCAGAATGAGAACCATTCCAGCCATGGAAGGAACAAGAGTACTAGAATACCATGTAAGGCAAATTGTAAAATAAGTTGCACCTGAATCCCCAGCAAATATGGCAGCCAAGTCACAGAGAAATACTTCCTTAGTTATCCCCCACCTTGCTGTCAACTAAATTGAAGGTCTACTCAAAAAAGCCTGTCCTATATAATCAGTCAATAAACAGTTACTGCTGTCCAAAACATATATTCAAGCCTATACATATATTTTGCAGGCCCACACCTATATTTACAAACATGTGTTTTCATGTGGTGTGAACTTGCACAGTGTAACTAACTTCACTGGATCAGCACCCAATTATGGCAGCTGAGAATCCATCCCTGTGACTTAAAAAACAGAGAGAGGCTTCACTCTCAGCTACTTGCCTATCACTTGCAGTGGAAATATGGGTGTTCCTACTGTCTCATTACTAATTCATATTACACTGGTTTTGCTGTCCCTTCCCTTTTAGACCACCTTATCAGTATTTTTCTATCTTGAAGATCTTGCTGGATGACAGAGAAGCCAGAAGGATCCCTGAGGCAAAAGCAGACTCCAAACATTATTCTCAAAATGTGTGCCTGCACAGAGATAATGAAGCCTCTCTCTCTGAGCTCATGGAAAAGGGGAATATCAAACAGAAGGCACAGCTTGAGTTTCAACTAAGCGGTCCCCCCATGTCACTTCAAATTAATGAGTTACAGTGTTTGTGCAAGAAAGTACACTATCACTACATCTGTGTGACCCCAGTGGCAATAAACCCCATCACTGAAATTCCTAAAGGAAAATAATTACTTTATATACTATGCAGTCAACTTGGTAAAAAAATACAGAACACAAATTAGACAAAAAAGCTGTGATGTCAGGAAGTAAAAACCATCAGCTCAAAGGTCTCTCCCAACTGCAAAGGATATGCGCAAATGCAAGAAATGATGACACCTCACCCCGTAGTTCAGCCACTTACCTGCCCCAGATCTAGGGTGACATTGACTTCGTTGTACTTCAAGCCCACGGAAAGAGGGGGACTTTGCCACCAGCGCTCAGTGCCATCAATGGCGTTGGTTATCGGGTGAGCTTTGCTGGGATCAGCAGCATTGCAGTAATCACAGAACTGGCCCTGAAACACAATCAATCAAAAACATGGTCTAAGACAACATCTTATGCATTGATGACACATGTGGTTGTTAATGGAGATTAGAGTGTTGACTAAAAATATGGGTAAATTTTGTTCCTTTATATACCGTAATTTTTAATGCATGAATTATTCCCCTGTTAATTAAATTACACACTGAAACACATTAACTTTTATATTACAAACTAAAACTTCAGAAATCTCAATAAGGGAATGACAGTAAATATTATCTTATTGACACTTGGGTGAAATTAGCTATATTACTTCTACAGTGGTGTCTGTAGGAAATCTGCAAAAAATCAGTGAAATAAAGATTCTTAGAACTGGATTAGGAACAACAAACAAATTATCCTCAGTTCTTCTAAAACACCATGAAATATCCACATACGCACATAGCCTGGTATAAATAGAATCATTACAAAAAGCTCTGTTACTTGGCTATAAGTTTGGTATTCAAATTTTATAACACTGTTTTCATTTTTTTTCATGCCATTATAATACATCCTGAATCAGAGTTTTCTAAACAACACGTACTCATGGAAAATGCAACAGACTGTTCCCTTTAAGCTTCCCTTTAAAGAATGCCATTGTATCTTCATTTCAAGAAGTTACTGCCCAATTTCCACTCCACAACTAAAGTCACAGTCCATAGATGCCCTTTGAGAGTCTCTTAAGCTCTGTGTACAATAAAGATGAATAAACTTGAAGAAAATTGTCTTTTGATTTCATATCTTGGCTTGCCCCACAAGCTATTTTTATTTCCAAGAAAACACATTTTACAGTCTACTAGGATTAGTGCTGAACTGCTGAAATTAGTTATTAAGGGGTCTTTTTAGTGTCTCATTCACTTCATATTCCAATCTCTAGGTGGTGATGATAAGTAAAAATGCTAAATTGTGCCAGCTACAGATCTTTATAGAAAAATAACATTTTCATTGAATGGCAGTACACCCGCCATGGCTCCTTCAGTAGGACAGTTCCTTAATCCATCAGGCTGTGAGTTGCTTACACTGTGTTGGACTCCTGTTTAAAATGAAGGGAATGGCACATATGTTACCTTATCAACTGCATGTGACAAATCTTTTGTGGTTTCCACAATCCACACTGCCTGGCATGAAGCATGTTCCTACCTTTTAAGATTTAACAGACTCCTATATAAGTGCCATTGTTTTGTTTGTTGCTGCTGTCAGACTAACCAGTGTAAAGTAACTGGAGCAATCATACCTGTCTGCTTCTTACAGAGGAGTAACAGAAGAGCTCTCACACTCTTGCTGGGTGCAGTCTTGTAAACTTGGTGAGTTTAAGATGTTTAGCAGAATTTATTTAACATCTACCATAGTTAGTTTTCCAACAGGATTGGAAAACACTTCATCAGTCTCATGTGATACGAATATACCATCCTGTGCCTTTCAACTATGAAACCAAGGTGTTCACTGAATTGAATATCTCTGCATCAAGAGCAATAATTTCAGCATCTGCATCTAGCAATAGTTCCACCCTCATCCTCCTCTTCCAGAAAACCCAGAATATGATGCAGTTTCCAGAAGATATGGCTACCATTAACTGTTCTGATTCAGCACAGCCAATGCCAATCTGGCTGGGGGTTAACTCTTGACAGTTCAAAGAGACTAAATACTCACACACACAAGTTGGTTAACTACAGCTGGGGTCATGTTACAACACGATTCTCCTCCAGCTCTGTTAGAGAAGATAGTTTGGCTGACTTTAATACAAACTACAATATGCCAGGACTCTGATTCAGTTGGTTTGCTGCAGCAGATACACATCAGCCCATGCTAGCTACAGGCAATGCTGCCAGTTTCTACAATGATGACAAAGAACATCATGTCACTATCTGCAAAAATCCATACCCTGAGTAATCAATCTGCACTGGCAACTGCAGTTACTACCACATCAGAGCATCTTCCCTGACAAATGCATACCTGAGTTCTGACATATATGTTACAACAGGGCAAGCTTTCCTAAATAGCTTTATAATGGGCTTGAAACACAGTCTTCAGAACTAAATTACATTCACAATGATCAGGCTGGAAGTACACAGGAAACAGTTGCTGTTACAGCAGTTTCAGCTCTGATCTGGAAACAACCTCAAAGAAAGGCTGAATGAGAAGAAAACAATGGGGAGTATTAAACACAAGAGTTTAATTTACATGCGCTTATGTGATTTCACTATACCAGAGCACTTGATCTGAACTCAAGATACCATCTTTCTCTTTTTGGGCACATAATTCAAAGAATTTCATTGCAACAGCTGGAGTTTCAGTTACTTAAACTACATTCCAGCAACCCTGCCAACTAGGCAGCAAAACAAAAATGAAAGAAAAAAAATTATTGGACAGAGCAGCCTTCCTTCCTTCCCACTGGCAGCACCTCAGGCACATCGTGCTCAGCCTGGCTGCTACAGGACACGTCTCCATTCCAGTAGATTCAGCCTTGAAACTTGGTTTGATTTTGGCTGCAGTTCATCAGACAGGCAGGTGTGCATTTGCTGGTGACCTCGTTACCCTCCTTTCCCCTGCTTCTCCCGAGCAAAGGAGAGACCTGGAACCGCATGAAAGAGTTTGCTGAAATAAGCTAGTGCAGACCAGGGACACACAGGGATGAAAATGTCTCGCCCCTAAGTTACAGAAAGTGACAACAATGAGGGATCTGTTCACTATTTCATACCTAGCAGCTCTGTGCCCACTGGTAGGGCAGGACAGGTATGCAGTTAGACTTTAACTCACGCCTGCACACCACTGTGGACCGACTGGCAGGCAAAACCAGGCATGCCACTTATCTATCAGCTGCTGAAATATTTTATGCTGTTGTGCATTTCTTCACTCAACACTGTTCTTATTAAGTCATTGTCCCACATGCCAGTGTGCTACATAAGGGAAACCCACCTCTTTCCACAGCATATGTCAAGCACTGCCTTAAGAGCCTTGGCTGAGCTGCCCACAAAGGGACTGGCCACCCCACTGACCACCTTAAAACAACATCTAAATGCTCTTTCTGGATTTGCTGGCTATTACAGGCTTCATTAAAAGATATATCACTAAATGACAAGCTGAACAAGAACAACCAATGGCAGAGCAATGGAAATGATGCTGGGGCTGCTCATCCTCTTTGCCTTATTTTCAGATAGCACTGGCAACAGAGCTGTCTGCTCCCTCTGCCAGAATGAGGATCACATTCTGCACCTCCTTTCCAATTTCCCTATTGCAACTCCTGCAATCTAGCATTGTAGGGAGTCCAAAAGAGAATGACTCAAGTGTTTGGTATCACTTGAACTTGAACCAGCACGATACAGCGGCCATTACACCTATCACTTTGTAAAAGCCACATGACCTTTCCTCACACTTTTAAGAAACAACACGTGAATACTTCTGCTGATTTTATATTCTTCTATGGAAGCCCATGTTCTGTAAAAGTTTAATGCAATTCTTTCCAATTTTCCATGAAAGAAGAAATTATCTTATTTACATTTGAACTTGAGAGGTGAAGTGGCCTGAGAATAAACACATTGTGCATTTTCGCGGTCTGGATTTCCCTGGCCTTTTGAAAGACTTTCCAGCCTTTCTTGAACCACAACAACTACTGGTAAACCACAGAAGCATTCATGTTATGTACCTCAATGGGGCTTTGTTAAAACTGGAAAGAGACGCTGTGGTATCTGTGCTTACACAAGCGCTCTGAGAGGCACAACACGCTTCCTCGTGCCAGGGCTGAGCTATCAGTAGTCCTTCTGGGAACTTTAATCAGGCAGGAACCGTAACGGCCCTCTAACCTAGGACCTGCAAGTCAAACATTTAAGAAAATTTCCCCCACTTCTAGTGTCTGTCTTCCTTTACACGGCAAACCCTCATTTCCGGTTGAGTGTTAGTATATAAAGGGAACAACTACAAAAACCATCAATGGCAACATGCAGGCTTCGTTCCGCTTGCTTGACAAGTTTATCTGATGTTTGCTTTGGCTGATTTTTATTACCCTGTGATTTCTGATATTTCAAGGAATGTCAGTTTGAGATTTCACTGCAGCAGTGGGCTGTAGCAAGTTGCTGAGAGATTGCTGGGTTTACAATTTACCTGGTGACACAGTTGTTTCAGGCAACTTTAAACATGGGTATTGCACTTGGTATGGAAGGATGGGTGCCTAAACCTCCAAGGTGCATTAGAAAGAGCAAACCAAGCAGTTTCCTGATCATCACAACCTTTTTTTGGAAACTCAGTTTAGGCATAATACCTGTGTCCCAGTTTCTCTTTAACTAGAACTGTATACTACTCAGCCTGTAAGCATCTCCAAAGTACTTTGAGCTTTTTTATGACTGAAAACACTACAGAGATAAAAGGTAATATAAAGAGAGAGAGAGAGAGATAAGAAGATTTCATTGTGAGGCAGGTAGTTATGGCAGAGGGAAGTCCAGAGCAAAGCACACAGCTGGCTGTGGCTGCCCAATGAACTGTGAGAGCAGGTTGCATGACGGTGCACGCTCCCTTCTGGCACGTGGCAAGGAATACACATGCTTCACCTTCTTAGTCCTCTCCCCCTCTCTTGAGCCTATTCTCATTTAAAAAATTAGAAGAACAACTCTGCAATCCACTGCAACCCCTTCTGAAACCATATCTTAAGGGGTATTTTCAGTATTAAACATGCAAACATCTCGTAAGACTTTGAAACACTAGCTCTTCTTCCAAGATGCTAAAAATTTACTTGTATGCTTTCTGTATTGCCTAAAGTCAGGACCTTTTGCCTTAAAGGAGGACCTTTAAGCTTTCACAATCCCTTTCAAATTGCAGTTTCTTCCTGGTTCTCCTCCCACCAAGAGAGAATACAATTAAAATAATTTTGGAAGGCCCAAGGCTTCAGGAAAGTCCCCTTCTTTTAACAAAGCTCTGATCAGATACCAAGCATCTATCACAGTACAACAGTTTGGTGCATTTGTTACTCCTTCCTTATCCTCTAACGAATGTGTAAATACATGTTTCTTCCAAAGGAAAGATATATTTCCACTAATCCTTTTTCAGAAGTTTTGCAGCTTATTGTTATCTTTCTTGTGACTAGCACAAAACCTGCGCAGTAATCTCATGCTATGCTAGGAAAGAACAGCATGATCCTTTCTGTGCTTACACTCCCTGTAAGAGTCCCAAGGAGTCTCCGGCTTCCTCCCACAGGCAATGCAAGGCACAAACGATAAGCCTCACATTTACTGCTTCTAAAATGCCACAAAATACTTGACTAAAGCCAGCACTCTTTTCCCGCCGCCTGCAGAAAGATTCCCGCTGTCCAGCCAGCACCGCCAGTGAAGTCCCGTCACATCCATTCCCCCAGGCTCGCTGGCTTACCCCCAGCAGTATCTCGCTGCTCACCGCAGACAACGGGACACGCTCTGAGGCCACAAAACACCACCCTGAGGCACTCGCAGGTGTCCGAGCAGCTGACACACGCCCGGCAGCAGCCGCAGCCCCGTGCCGCGGCGAGGCGGTGTGTGGGTGTGTGGCCCCAGGAGGTGCGGGGACACCCGAGGGCAGGCGCGGGGACACCCGAGGGCAGGCGCGGGGACACCCGAGGGCAGGCGCGGGGACACCCGAGGGCAGGCGCGGGGACACCCGAGGGCAGGTGCGCGGGCA